CTGGCTGTCAGACGTTGGGTTCTGCAAGGCAACGGCAAAGCTAAGTCCTAGCACTGGTGTTTTTTTCATGTCTCGCACTCTGCCTCCGCACCATTCAGTTGAGGAGGATTTCCTGACCCTTACAGTACCCCCTGCCAAGACTCAACACAGAAGTGAACTGCCTGTGTCCCAGTCGGGCTGCATTTTCAGTAAGGGTGTCCTAAAAAGTCCTATGGCCAAAGGCCTGACGGCTGAGAGGGACGGCAGCTTAGGCTTGATTCGGGACTTCAAGAGCACCCGGCCTTAAGCTCTTGAACCATAAACGGTCCAGTCAACCCTTTTTCAAGACTTTGAGCGTTAAGGAAGTCCAATCCCGTTTTTCTGCTTCCGAATTTGGATGCCAGCAGAACTTCGCAATTCAATATTGCACTCACATCCAAGCGGCGATCTTCAGAAGTTAGTTGCACGCTTCACATCTCGGGCGCCTCGACGACCGAACAGATTGGGACAGTACATGTTGTTGCGGGGCCCCTCCTGACCGCAAAGTGCTTTGCTTTCCAACAACAACTGTTCGGGGTTGTGCAGGTTTCAAAAGATGCGTTGGGGTGTTTCCTTTTGGGGAAGAACCGTATTGTTACTATTTGAAGGCTCCCCAGAAAACTTTGACGGGACCCGCCCAAAACACCCGGCTCAGCATGAACGGGCCGACTTTTTCATGCCCCAGTCACCAGCTGTGGAACAGATGGTTGTATCACTGCTAGCCAAGGAATAACTACACACGCTCCAAGCTCTTGGAAATGCTCGATTCAGAAGGTTTCGCTGGGAAATACAATTTTGTGTGGCTCGTCACGAACCTGCGTACACCATTCAGGATGCTTTGTTTGTGTTGATCTTTTGAGAGATGTGGCGTGTCTGATCCACTTGCAATGTTCAGTGGGTTTCGGTGATATCGGTGTCGCAACTGAGGTATTTGCCCATTGATTTTCACACGCAGGTGGGCGTCTGTCCTCCCATTTCTGTGTCTTATTGCTTTCGTCGCTTCAGAGCGCGTTGACCATACAAGAGAGGCCAGCCTGGGCTATGCGTTCGTGAACCTGGTGGACAGCTCCCACGTGCCCCAGATCCAAGAAAAGCTCACAGGTCGCGAGCTCGGCGAGCTCAGAGGCGGTTTCTCTTCCAGAGCAGGTCGGAGCTTGTCTTGCAGAAAACCCTAAACCCTAAACCCTAAACCCTAAACCCTAAACCCTAAACCCTAAACCCTAAACCCTAAACCCTAAACCCTAAACCCTAAACCCTATAGAAGTTTTGTTCTGGCTTCTTCCGATTTTCTGTTGCCTCCTGAGGCTTCAAGAAGTGGAAGGTGCCCAGCAAGAAGGTTTGCGAGGTGCAGTTGGGTAGCGGGATGGGTCGGGGAAGTGTGAGGATTTGTGGATTTCAGCCCACACGTACCGAAAATGCCGCTACGTATTCCAGGCCATGAGATGCTCAAGATACTCGAACAAATTCTCATTACACACGACCGCCAAAAAACCGGCTTACACTGGCTCACACTGGCTTACAAAAACTCTTCAACCCTTAAAAGCCCCAAGCCAAGCATGCATGCACTAGGTGCGCCTTTGTGGGCCGTGGCCCGATCTGGAGGCTCATGTGGAGAGATATCGAAACAGTTCTGTCAGGGCCCAAGTCCTGTGGCGACTGTGCTTGAGCTGTAGGTGGCTTCATCGGCATGATCTAGCGCCCTTAAAACCTGGAGCATGATTGAATCCTAAGTCCTAAGCCAAAACACCCCTTCGCTTCACAGGTCATGCATCCCAGCGTTCCCGAAGAGTTCAAGCCCGCCCTTTTCGAGAAGGGCAAGCAGGTCCCCTTCCCGAAGCCCTCCAAGGCGGGGTCAAAGAGTTCGGTTTTTGGCCATGTAAGTACCATAAAGCCCAAAAAAACCCCTAAAACCCTGAAACCCTGAAACCCTAAAACCCTAAAGCTCTGCGTTTGGCAGAGTTCGCCAGGTTCCGAAGCCTCCTCAGATTCGAAAATTGCCTGCCCGCCCGCTCACGGAAGAGAAGCAGAAGGAGCTTCTGGGATGGGTTGTGGTAGGGTTCAGGGTTTAGGGATTATAGGGTTTAGGGTTTAGGGTTTAGGGTTTAGGGCAGGGTTTAGGCGGCAGAGGGGGGAAGCGGAGTGCTGCCGAGGGAAGACTTCTCAGGAGACACCATGCCCCTCACACGTGTCTGTCTTTCCTCCCACGCCGTTTGAATGTGCAGAGAGCCCCGGGGTAACCCGATAATCCATCATCCTAAACCCTAAGGGTTTAGGATTTAGGGTTTAGGGTTTAGGGTCCTAGACCCTAAATCAGGACATGCATGTGCTCACCCCGGGCCTGGTCCAGCGCAGCGTTGTCTGAGAGTTCGACAACCAGGTGCAGGGGTTGGAGTGGCCCATTGACAGATGGTTCTTGGCTTCGTCGGGAGGATTTGCGGAGTGTGTGGGTCTTCAATGCGCTTGGAGCGTGCCGGGTAGCTTGTGATACTTGTGACCAGTGCAAAGCGCGACATAACAGAAGCCAAGCCTTTCTGTGTTCGAGCCGCATCATGTCCGACTGCCGAAAAGCAAAGCAGCAAGGACCCTCGGCAACAGTGAGCCGGAATGCTGGAGAGTGGGTTGCCTCCCATGGGCAGTCCCAGTTGCTGGCAGAATCGCCTGAGAACCACCTCAGTTTCCTGAACTCGCTAAGCAGGCTCGGTCTTACAGCCGGCATGAACCGACAGAAAGGGATGAACACTTCGGGATGTAGAAAGTTTGAGAAAGGCCAACTCATGTGCTGTCAATGCTTCAAAGCTCGCAGAATAATATGGTTGGAGGTGGGATGCAAGAACTGGAAGCGCGCCACTGTGATTTTAAGGCTGTCGTGCGGAACTTTCACACTCCAGCTTCTCCATCTCGGTTGCCAACAGCAGCAGGGGTCGGACTCCTGCGAGATATTGGAGAAGAGAGTCGTTATCAGTGTCGCTTTGATTTTCCCCCGCTCTCCGAAGAGGACTGTGCTGATTGTAGGAAATCCTTCTCTAACACAGCATAGCAAGAAGCAGGTACAAAATAGGACCAGCCATGCGGCGCATTGGCTGTGGTAATGCCACATTGTTCGACCTCGACCTTTTACACTGGAAAATGTTTGAAGTTCTTGCCGCAACCCAACCCCCCCTCCCCCCCCATAGTGCCTGCAATGCATGTGCGGTCCTCGGAGTGCGTCTGTACAGATGCTTTTCTTGGAGGATCTGTGCGCCTCTATCGTGATTGACGCAGAGGTGTGAAAAGTGTCTCAAACTGTTGTTGGTGTGCTTGGCGCACGGCTCTTTCAAGCCCAAACAGCTAGCACCTGCTCTGAGTGCAGCATGCTGGCATTTTGAAGTTCCCTGGGTGGAGTTCAGGGATCCTCCGAAAAGATGGCCTTGGGTGCTTGGGTTGCCGGGTGTTTCCTGCAAGGGCATTCAGGAGAGTCTGAAGGTTCCTCGGCACCCAGGCATGGCTTTAAAGCCATATAAGGACGGTAGCGGAGGCAAGATGAATCTTCCAGACTTGCCCGGGCATGCCGCCTTCTAGCACTTTAACCTCTCATCTTCATGACTTCAAGCAGGTGTGCAAGGAGGACCCGTGTCCCTCGATCGACTAACACCAGCAGCAGTGAATTGGAGACTGCGCAGCTATCGAAGAGGCATTCCTGGAACACTTGTCTTACAAGCTGCCTGGCATGTCAACGGATCAGCGGCTGGCTGCACCCCAACACCCATGACGTTCCAGTCCTTTCCTGCTCGGCTCTCATAGATGGAAGCACCCGCGCAGCCCAAATGTCCCAACGCCCGCAAAATTAGCCGAAACCCGACATCTTCACAGTAAGAACCCTTGACATGCCGCAGCGGCGAAGTGTCTGAGTCCTGCATCTCGCCATCTGGAACCGCACCGCCACACTCCTGTCGCAGAACAGGTTCGGGGTTTAGGGATGTGAGGAGTATTTGGCTTGCAGGCTTTGGCCCATAGACCGCGACACTATAAAGTTCAGACGGCGACGCGAGCGTTCCAAAAGCTAACAGATTTGAGCTGCCTTGCGTGGGCCGCTTAGTTACATCCGTGTGCTCATGCAGAGCCTCTGCCAATGTGGAAGCTGACGGGCGACTTGCCGGTACAAGCTCTGTCGAATTTTGTGGCAAATGAAAGCAAAGCAGACATGAGCAGACGCCATCCAGGGCCCACACTGTCCACACAAATATCACGACAAATCGAGCGCGGCAGCTCCGCGCATCCATACTTTTCATGTACTTAGCCTTCCAGCACCCAGTACATCCCAGTACGGTGTGCAGCGGTGGGAGCACACTGCCGCGAATGCGGGTCGTGGCCGGAGTGCTGGGATCTCGGTGTCCTAGACTCGATGGGGAAAGGTTTGACAAGCGCAGTAGACTGACTGAACAACAAGGACACTTCTCTGCTGGGATCCTCCAAGCGTCACAAACTGACCGCAGGCTGTGCAGAAAAGCAAAGCCTGGAGCAACGTCAAGGGGAGTGCTTCAGTTTGCTGGGGCTTTCGCCTCGGCAAGCGGAAGTTGTCAATAGCAGTTGCTTGGGCATTGTGCAGCCTCTCGTTTTGACGACAATGACCCTAACCCATCCTTCACCCAAAGTATAAGTCATTAGTTTCGATGAGCGGCAGCACAGTTCCCAAAAACATTCCTGCGGCTGGAAGTTGCCGCAGGAATCGAGAGATCACGAGACCGTTGCGTGAGCCACAGAACAGGACTGTTGTCCCATGGGGTCAGAGGACCCATGTGGGCCCTTGTGGGGCCGGACCTGTGCAGTTCTCATTGTCCAGGTTATATTGCAGATCCCAGAACTGGCCCAGAACAGTCTTCCCTAAACCCGAAACCCTAAATCCTAAACCCTAAATCCTAAACCCTAAACCCTAAGCCCTAAACGCTAAACCGGACCCTAAACCCTGCAGAGCCTCGTGGCCGGGACCCGCAGTTTCCGGGCAGGCATTGTGCGACCCTGGCACTGGTGGCCACTGTGATGGCGCGGCCTATCGAGGTCTTTCTTGGCACCACTTGTCAGCCTCTGGGGGCTGTTCAAAACTAAGATCCCGGTTTTAGGAGTTTTCTGCAATCGTAGAATATGTGCGAATATACCCGACAAGGGGACCTCCCCGAAACAGACCCTTGTTCTTTGGAGCTGCCAAAGAAGATGTTGAGGGGGCAAGTGATCTGACAGGACCTCGGCTTTGAGGTTGGCGCCATGTTCTATCTCAGTGTGGCTTTGACCTAGAGAGTCTACAGTCTAGATATTTTCTGTCCATGCTCGAAGCTGTTTTGGAATGCGGTCCTATGGAGACTAGAGGGTGGTCGGTCGAATGTTTCTTGTCCCTAAACCCTAAACCCTAAACCCTAAACCCTAAACCCTAATTAGTTTGACTTGGTGCGGACGGTACGCAGACATGTCAGGGTTGCCGAGTCCTGGGTTCGGATTGCTGGTTGAGGTTTGCCTTCGTTCATGCCGACGCCGCTCCGACTCAACTTGGGGTTTGGGTGACCTTACCAAGGCCAGACAGAGCCTCTAAAGTCAAGAGCTTCCTGGGATTCCGGTGATGACATCATCCTCGGGGCGTATGTGGGTGTCGTTTTTTGTGTACGTGCGAGTGTCAAACTAGGGTCCTTGATTTAGATCAACTTCCAACGCGACATGAAGGTCACAAAACAAAGGAAAGGAAACAACTCTCTGATCAGAACCCGGAGGCCAAGTTCTAGATTTTATCCCGAGCTTGCAGAGCAGAAGCCTTGTACACCACCTCCTAGGTCGTAAGCCAAAAGCCATGCCCCAGCCCTGTCAGTTCTTCAAGGCCGGCTCTGGCCTCACACCGGCCCCAAGTCAAAGCAAGTCCATCCACTGCTACTGCAACACGCCATAAGAGACCCCCAATATAACCCTTAAAAACCCCTGACTCAACACTGAAGCCCTGCAATGGCGCGCCGCGGGCACGTTCCCTGAGCCGAAAGGGAGCTCCATGGTGCTTGCCTTGGCACCTCCAGGGCTTTCGGAGGTTATTACTTGGCTGTCTTCTGGCTGGCTCTTGGGTTTAAACCTTTTGGGTTTTTGTACAAACTACAATAAGGAGCCCAAAGTTAATCTTGTGCGGAACTCTGCCACCCTCGTCCGGGTCTCCTAGCGAGGGTGTCCCATCCCTCGCACCCCCAAACATCTCTGCAAAGTATCCCTGGAGTGCCAACCCCCAGGCAATCCTGCCCACTGAAGAATCCGGCGCAGACTCCCACAGAGTATCGGAATTCCCCAATCCCGCATGATCCCTACAGAGTAGGATGTTCGAAATAAAAATGCATACATAATGAGTATATCAATACATGCAAATGTACATATGTATATATGATATGATGTGATGTGATATGATATGATATGATATGCACATATACATTACACATTTATATGAGTTGTGGTATTCTTCGTCTTCTTTTGGGGGTAAGGCGCGAACAAACAGTACTTCCAGAGATGACAAGCCAGTTCTTCTGAGGCCTTCGAAGTGGTTTTCGATGAGAAGGCGCCCGCCTTGGTTTCCGTACTGTACGAGTGGTTTAGGGTTTAGGGTTTAGGGTTTAGGGGTGCAGTGTGCTCCGGGACACTAAGTATACCCCTGAATCTTCCCGAGAGAGTCCGAGGCTAAGGCATGCTGCTGCAGTCGCAAGCTAGTCGTCGCTGTTGAAGATGATGCTGACTGGGGAGGGGTCATGGACACCTTTTACGTGTCTTTTACCAAAAGTAGACTTCCCGGATTCAATGCATTCTGTCCATCGGACCACGATTCACTTGGCAAGTCTCCTGGTAGCTCGTGGTCCCTTACCCAAGGTACTTTAGGGGGCTTTTTTGTAACAAAGACCTCCAAAACGAACTTTGAGGGAGCTGACCACGTGCGGAGGTCAAAAAGCTTGGCTTCGAGCTCGGCTTAGAGGAGGACAGCGAAGCCTCCAGTAGCCCTGGCCATATGTTTAACGGGCTCTGGCTTGCTTGCTGGTTCTTAGAAGGGGGGGAGTGTTTAGGAGAAGCGGAGTCGGGTGAAGTAGAGTGGAGAGTCGACCGAGACGAAAGTCTGGTGCGCTAAAGCGGTATTGCCTCCTGAGCCAAAGCTCAAAGACAGACAAACCACAAAGTATCCAGACAAAAGGCGGGCAAGGAAAAGAGAACACAAGACACGAAAGCCCACGAGGCCGCACGCCGAGGGCCGCGAGACTGTCGCCAAACCTCTGAAAAAGGGTCGGCGATTCGAAGTCGTCAGCACAGATGCAGTGCTGAAACCGAGGGCTGCGGAAGCTGGCGAAAACTACCCTTAAGCAGGCGAAAGCCAAATCTTTGTGCTCGGATGGCTGCGCGCAATCGCGTCCCCACCTGAGTCTGTTCTCTCAGAGTACGCCAGGCCGCCGTCCTTTGCCTGACCTTGCTCAATGCTTTCACCATGGTCACGAAGTAGGTGTTCAAGCTAAACCCTCAACCCGAAACCCAAGAATTGAAAACGGGCCAGAGGGTGAAGCTGGGTGGGATCCGTTGGATCAGGTGTCTACCCCCCAGCAAACAGTTGACATGAGGTGCTGTATAAGCGCCGGAGTGGCAGAATTGGGTTTCAAGCGACTCAAGTCTACAGGAAGGACCCTTATGAGGGACCTCGGAGGTTTTTTGGAGGTTTCTTGGGGGCTACTTAGCTATGTAGGGAATATATAAGGCATATAATAAGGCTTTTTAGAGGAATAAGATGAAGAGTCCCTCCAGGAACCAACCTCCCAAAGCTCCACTGGGAACCAGCAAGTGAGGATGATCGACCCCACATCTCGGGCGTGAAGCCTGGCTTGGGCCCGAGGTTTGTGGCGCAACGCCCATTCCTGAACAGGAAGGTTATGTGTTCGGTTGCTGGGTCTGCTGCCTTTCGGCAGGACATGAGTGTGGTGTTGAGCTGACGCATCTATGTCAGTCAGCCTCATCAGGCGGTTCAGCGATTACATTGGGAGTGTTGGCACCCCAGCCACTGCACAGGAGGAGAGTCCTGCGACATTTGGGTTTGCCATGTCGTGCCGTGATGTGTGCTGGTGCCAGTTTGAGTAGATACAGTCTCGTCTGTGGAGATGTTTGATGGGGGTGGCCTTCTGCCCGAGGCGTGCAGGTGACATCCTCGTCTCCATCAATGGCGCCTTTGGCCCAGCTGGACAATTGCCAGACTGCACTTGGCCATGAAGCAAGATCTGAAGCAGGATAAGGGAACGGGCTGGAGCAGAGCTTCTTCTACTTAGCACATGGCTGCGCGCATGTGCTGCAGCCCCGATGGCTCAGGCACCTGTTGGGAAGCCAACCCGAGATGAGATCAAGGCTCCAACATCCATGAACATCCAAGACAAATCTATAAGAACCTAAGGGTTGTTAAAAGGTTTTTGCATGGTTTTGCGCAATTTCTTAAAGCCCTCTTGGGTTCGGCTCGAGCTTGCGTAACATGGGACACATGGGTCCGGAAAACCACGCCAAGAGCACCCTAAGAGCACCAGAACAAGGACCCAAAGGGTTTAGGGTTTAGGGTTTAGAGTTTAGGGTTTCGGGTTTCGGGTTTAGGGTTAAGGGTTCTGCACCACCCCGTTTGCGGCCTCTACGTAGGCCTTGGCGAGAGCGGGCCCACTGGAACAATGGAACCCTGAACCCTAATGGGGTGAGAATTGGGTTATACGTACAGTGAGAATTGGGGTTACGAAGTACCATGAAGCACCGAGAGGGTCATCGATTTCGATGTCTCGGGTGCGGAAGAATCCCATCATGCAAGCACTAGTTGGAGAACTTTGAACCTGTTGCGGCAGCCCTGCTCTCGTTCAGGCAGGATTGCTTAAGGCTTAGGCTCAGAATTGCTCTCGTTCAAGCTGCGGACTTGGGAGGTGTTTTTTTTTCAGTATATTTTTGCAGATTTCATCGTGGCAGGCGCTCCTGAAGGTACGGCCGGTGACGTTGCAGTGTGGACCTGAGCTGTAAACTCGCATCCCTTCCAGAACACATACATCCGTGGCCCCCACAATAATTAGGGGTAAACCCCGTGAAGCTGCATGGCCATCCGAGCCGCAAGCTCACGCAATCCTTCAACCCTGAAAACTTGTAGACGTCGGGGATTGCAGACATGCAGTTGTTGAAGGCTGGAACGCATCACCAAGAGTGGTGGTGGAGGCACAACTGCAGAGCTGAGCTTGTGAAGGAGCATCGAGCCATCGAGCCAACAGTTCCAAAGCCGAAACATCCCCGCAAGGTGAGGTCAGCGACAGCGGCTCCGAGTCGGACACCGGCCAGGCCACCGCCAGGGGAGGTTTCGGTCAGAGCAGCGTAAGCGCGCGGGGGCGAGGGAGAGAGAGAGAGAGAGAGCTTCAAATGCAAGCAGGCAGGAGGAAGAAAGACCTGAAATGGAGAGCGTTGCCCGTTTTTGAGGGGTTCGCGTAAAGCCTTCGAAGCCGATGCGAAGTCTGCGGCAAGGCCAAGAGTAGCCCCAAGGAAGCCCGGCTGAATGCCGACATGGCTCTGCTGCACGGGGCCCGGATAGGGGCGAACCATGAACCATTATTTTTATCGCGCGGTGCCAAGAGATGTAACAGATACTTGCATTGAAGGGCAGGTGAAGGTTGTCAGTCTGCCCCTGTGGCGAAGTGGTGCCTCGGAATTGTGTGGGTTGCAGGGTTGCAAGAGTTCTGCCTGCTCAGGTGCGCAGCGAAGGCCAAGTCTTCCAGTGCTGGCCGTTCAAAGGCTCGTGCAGGGGGCTGGGTTGTCTGGGTTGTCTCAGTTGTCTCGTGGTCAAGCATACCGCCGCAAGTGGCGGGATGCCTCGCCAGGGCTTTGTTGACCATTAGGCCTCATTAGGCTGCAGCATCTGGATTCAAACCAGCACTGAAATTCCGAGCAATGTCGGCAATGCCTCATGACAATGATCATCGCTGGAAGGGTTTGGCGGTGCAATGTTAGGTCTCGTAGCTTTGCCTCTTGTGTAAAACTTGACATAGGCCATCATATGTCCA